TGGTGGAGGACTCATGAAGGAGAGGTTGGTGGTGGACTCTCTGCCATGGGAGGGACCCCGTGGGGAAGCAGGGAAGGACAGTAAAGAATCCTTCCTGAGGAAGGGACAAATTAAAATATAAAAGAGCTCAGAGCCCTTTCAAACCAGGAAACACTTCCATCCAGTTTTAATGAAAACTAATTTTTTTCAGCATTGACGATTTTACATTTATAATGTCAGTAGCTCCTTATGAACTTGAATTATAGGTGTGCTATGTGGACAGGTTTCAATGCTCACAAGTGAATTAGTTTTACTGAGTCCCTCTTATTGAATAAATACCTACCTAGAAAAAATTCAAGCAAAATAGATCTGCTTGCTTGTAAATTACCAGCCTGGAAATTATTACTGTCCCAGTATATTAAGGTCATTGTAAGTAAATACAGTAAAAAATGACATTTTTTTGGTAAAGCACAAAGGTATCTTCTTAACAAATAAGAACCAGAAAGCCCCAAACATAAACATAAATGTGCTAATTTCAATTGTACAAGGTAGTGTATGCAGGATTTCAGAGCGCCTCCGAATATTTTGTATCTAATTGGATAAATTTTCATTTTAATTGTTAAATTTTATGAGCCAATGGGAATTTACTTTGGGGCTCTTGCCATTTAATTTGCCTAGTTTAATACACATGTGCTAATTACAGATGTAGACACTGCAAAGCACATTTCATAGGGTAATCTTTTTATTTGCTTAAAAAAAAATTCCTCTATTATTTCTCTACAAGGCACCAGACCTTATCCTGTCCCTCACGTTCAACACAGTTTTTGTGCCTTGATTTGCCTCTATGAGAAATCCATCTCTTAAAACACTGCCTTGATTAGTCCTAGTGCAAGTCCAGTACCGTCCATAGGGTTTCATACATAAAACTGGGAGCAGAAATCAGCCTTACAGCCCCATCATGAACATCATATACAGGAAGACACAAACACAGGTCCTTCCCCAGAGCTGTGTCAGGCTAAAAAGAAAGGAGCTTTAAGAGTTCACCCACAAAAGAAAAATGGGTATTTTCAAATTACTTTTCTGCAATAAACTCAAGGGTTACGAAGGGGTGGGAACCAAAAGTCCTACAGGGGTTCTCTCTTTTGTGAATATTTCTTTTGCTTTCACAATATGGCAGCATCCTCATTTTTCAATTACTTCTCAGTGGCAGAAGGGCAAGTGCAGAAGTGCGGGTGGTCAGCAGACAGGCAGCACAGCTGGGT